AAAGTTGAGAACATAACAGTATAACATAACTGTACAATATAATTGACATAATACTTTTCAAAGAAAGTTCTTAAAAGAACTCTTCCAAATTCGGGATACCGGCTGATTTCTAGGTTATCAGAATACTAGAATATACTTTTACTTTACACTTACTACTACATACTTTGACTTTTACTTTGTCTGACTATTCAAAACGTCTCCACTGTTATAGCCTAAATATGTGTTTTTTCATACAAATTCAAACAATAAAACGTAGTCTTAGGTCATTATGAAGTAACAAATGAACAAAAAATTCATTGTTTGCAATGGCAATTTTAAATAAAGTTGTCTTCGACCCAATTTTGGCCAGATTTAAAGGTTAAAAAGGTAAACAAAGGTTTTATTTAGCTTTTTGAAGCTTTGTTTGTATTAATCTACGACTTCAAAGATAACATTACGAATTGTTTCATGCGTTTTGGTTTAGAACCCTAAAGTTTAGTTTTTATACAATCCTTACAGTATAAAACAAAATACTTACACAGTAGTTACAGTATAATGTTACCATACCATAAATATAATGAGATTCCCGAAAAAATTGTTAAACATGCCTCGACTTGTAAACCTATTACAAAATTGACGATTACATGAAGGATAGGGACGTTGAAAATGACATTCTTTCTGCTCTAGTGAACTGTGCAAGCCGACAGTGAAATATTAAATTGTAATTTAATTAATTTATAATAATTGAATCAAATTATTAACGTAATTTGATTCAATTATTATAAATTTAAAATGGAATTATGATAATTTCTAAATAAAAGGGCAAAACTATGACCTTAGAATTTCATACTGTTGGGAAAATTTGACGTTCATCGGGTGTTTAAATAATTTAAATAGTTATAAAAGGTATTTATGATCTTTAAGTAAGGTGATAATAAAAATTGGTTGAACCTGCAAGCCATCCCTGGAACTTCCCGCTAATTTCAATATCAAAGCACTCCATGTTCCACTTACACATTTGGAATGGTCAAAAATGGTCTTCCACAATTCGGAAGACCGCGTTTTTTATTTTACTTTTTTCAAAATTCAATATTTCACGAACAAATACAACCGATTTTGATGTGATTTACTGCAATCGACACAATTTTTTCAGCTCATCAAAAAGGTCTATAACAAAATAAAATTCTTCACGGAAAGAAAGTTTTTTGAAAAAACATTTTATAGAGATATCTTTCGTCAACGATGTCTCTCGAAGGTATCAACCGATTTTGATGCGGTTCACGGCAATCGACGTAGTTTTTTTTAGTAAAAGAGCTGATTAATTATAAAATTGATCAAAACAAGGGTGTTGAAGTAATACCAAGAAAATTACTTTTTGAAAATTAAAAATACTCGAACTTTGATGTTTTCTCAGAATCAACCGTGACTATTCGAACTAAATTCACAGAAAATCTAAGTTCAGCAAGGCTCTTTCAGATGCCGAAAACTGCTTTTTGATTTGATCGGACACTCTGTTAGAAAGATAAGAGAGATGTTTAGCTTCCTAGGACCTCGAAATGTCTAGATCTGATGAGAACTCAATTTTAAAAAAAAACTGGGGTATAACAATTTTGAAAATCATTGATTTTCGTAGCGGGAAGTTGAAAAGTGTATAAGAGCTGTAGTGACTGGACTGCCTCTTCTATGCGAGTTGTGCAGGATGTAGTGAATAATTACTACATAATAGAAATTCTCAGTAGTTGCCTGGATTCAGGAAGTTGGCGGTGTTTCACCCCCCCCCCTCGTCTCGGAAAACACGTAAAGCCGTTGGTGCTGTACCCGATCCATATTCAGTCGTATCGGACTATCGTCCCTTCGGGTTTTGAGACGGAGGCAATAGAATAGAGCGTGCACCTGTGCTTGCGCATACACTCGTGCACTATAATCCTGTACTGTGCAGATGGCTAGTCTTCGTTTGAGACTGGCCGCCGTGACCGGATTTCGGTCTGGAGGACATGATTACCTATTACCATATCCTGTATGCTTGTAAATGACCTTTATAAAAAATAGTATACGTAAAGGAATATTGTTAATAAAGTTTTATTGCTTTTAGTTACAAAATAGTTATGTTACTTAACTGTTTCAAAAGCTAAATTTTTCGTATTAATACTGTCCGTGTTCTGTTAAGGAAATGCACACTTATGTTAATAACAAAGCATTTGAAGTGTTTCAATAAAACCGTTCACAACGTAAGCTTTGACAGCTGTTAAACTTGTTTAATGTCCAAGATAAGCCTCATTATCAATACATTTAATTGCATTTGTTATTCGATACTATACGTAATGCGATAGGGTGTAAGAGCGTTGGACCGGGCTGAAGCTCAGCCATAAATGTATTTACGACAATTTTACAATAGTGTTGCATAAGCGACCGGGCTGGCTGCAGTGCCTTGACATTGTACGACATACTGAACTGTGCACGTGTTCGTGAATAACACATATACTTACAAGTAATAACCATAACATGTTTCTCGTGCTGGGGTAGATTTATCAACATTTTAAAATAGGCAATTTCGATTTTCCAACAGGGTCAAGTCAGTAGGCTTCTCTGACTAACATTGTTTCAGCATTTGATAGTGTCAGAATCGTTGGAATTGATTATAATCATATTATGGGTGATTAGCGCTCGCTGTAAAATTTTCACAGTATGCGAGCAACCCGGGTTCGATCCCCGCCGGCACCAATGAAATTGTTAATTGCAATTTTAAATGCTGATTTACCACGTGCTCGGCGGTGAAGGAAATTTTAACATCGTGAAGAAACCTGCATGTCAGAGAAATAAGAAAAAAACATTTCGAAGGCATGTGAAGTTTACCAACATGCATTGAACAGCGCAGCGGACTTTTCCTTGCCTTAAAACTCTCTCAGATATGAGAGGAGGTCGGTGCCCAGCAGTGGGACGTACATGTATCTTTAGTTTTTTATAGACCTAGAATCGGACTTAGTTACAGGTTTGGGTTCTAAGCCTGTATATATCTACTCTCTTCCAATCCAATTGCTTAAAGTGTCTGGTATTGTGATGGCCACCCACCGTGCTGAAAGTTGTACAAAATCCCTTTAAAAATCTGAATATAGGCTCCTTAAGACTTCTATATTACGATTGTTTTCAGACTAATAGTGATGAGTTCTTCATTTGTTAGCTACAAACAAGACAAATAGTAATTGAGTACATCGGTATATATTTGAACGTTTATTTCACTATTATAGCAAAAAAATAAATAAAATGAAAACGTGAAAATGCATTCGTAACTCCGTCTGAATAATAATATTCATAAATCGCTTCAACATTTATCGGGGTTTGCGAAACCAGGAATAGGAATTGCATGGCTACCCAGTTGTGATATAATGGCCTTCAGCAACGGAGAACAGGTGTTTTACTGGTGAAAGTCGCATACACAGCTCGCCAGTTTAAGCGTAACATTTTGCATTATAAAGACAACGATAGCCCGGCACTAAGTACAAACCTACGACACAACAGGATTTGCTAAATGTCAGATAGCTTTGTAATAATGAAGCTGTGCTTTGAGTCATCTCTCTTAATCATAACAAAGTATTTCTGATTGTGGTGTATGACTGTATACCAGCTGCAAGGAGTACATACTGCAATTAATCTTTTAAAGACCATGCTTTTAAAGAATGTCTAGGTAAAAAATAGCAGCATGACGCTGTTGTGTCTCGTATAGTATAAGTAACGAGAACCGGATATTCTCAATCGTCTCGATTTTTAGTAGTAACGAGATATTCCATTTTAATCCTCGAAGGTTTATAAAGCATTTTGATGGGATTTTGATTCTTAATAGAGAATAGTTGCATCTACAAAATAGTCTGTAGTCCACATCCCATATAGTACAATCCCTTGTTTTATAGGGTTGGAATTTTTCTCCAAACTATATATAGGGCATCATTAACGTCAGTTCACAACTATCGAAAATTTACCATTTAGTAAGAAAAAAGAACATATAGTCGAAGTTACAATCTCTTTTCTTGAAGACTGCAAAGCTTTATCTCTTTTATATAGGATAGGGTGACAAACTAGCTAGCACACAGTCCATCTGATGATAAGTGGTTGCTGCGGCTCATAGACATCTACATCTATCCTATTACAAATCAAAATGCAGATGTGTTGCCACCCGTGAGGACTAAGATGGAATGCCTCGCTTCCAGTAAAAAGGGGTCTCCGGTTCTCTACACTTACCATACGAGACACAGCACCATTAAGCTACTACATTACGCTGGTATTCTGTGAGTGTGTGGTCCTTCCCCGGTCGAGCTGAGGTAGAACTAAAAACTGACTTAACCTACTGTTAAGAGTATAAGGAACATAAGTTTTCTTTACAAAATTGGTCAAACCCATTTATATTATTTTATTGCATTCAGCTAATTCTACCGACATGTTGAAATGTACTAAATATACAATAGTTAAAAGAAACTACGAGCATTTGAAGCGGACCTAATTAATATTTGCAGGAATATTATAATCTGAAAGTAAGCACGATCCATGTCGCGGTCTAATTGAAATTGCTACAGGCACGGTGCTTGGACACGTATAACAAGACGCCTATGAAATGTTTGAGAAGACGCAACTAAGCAGTTTGTTTGTTTCTTAATGGTCTAATTAATTTGAGACTTAGTTTTCTTTTCATTTATATTTATGACTGGCAACCCGCCCCCGGCTTCATCTGGGCAGGCTCTATTAATATGGCGTTATTTAGTTTAAGATATTTAGGGACCATTTATTTAATCATTTTTTTTAAATCCTCAAGTTTCAGAGACAAAATATAGCCTAGATATCTCTCGATATTGCTTTCTATATGATCGCAAAGTTTCATTACAATTTTTATAAATAGTTAGTTATTTATTAATATGATACAAATAACCCCCTGTGCTTGAGATATGCCAAATATTTCAATACTGCAGACAGACCCTTTCACTTTATGTATATGCTTAGACTTACAATCAAAAGTTACTAATTAGGTCACTTACCCTTTTCTTACGAGGGTGCAGGTCCTCGTAGTCCATAGCAATGCCTTCATCGCTGAATGAGGATGAGACAGGGGGCGGCGAAGGCGTGCCAGAACGCCACGAAGAGCTCGAGCTACTGCTAGCCCCAGGTGATACTGATGAGCGTCCACCCCATGCACCTGTACAGAACACTAACTTGTATAATATTCCTAGGGATATGTTTTCAGTTAAAAACAGTTTATAGGTGAAGAAATACAGTCCAGAAATCTATTATTCAAATCGCTATGAAATGAATATTTAACTTTTCTCGAAAAATTTCATTGAATAAAAATGTGTCTGTATATATCTAACACTTCATTCCTCGTATTTATTCTTTTGTATACAGCCCTCGTACGAGAGCAGAGCCAGGGGTGTAACAGATTTGGTACTCCGATCTTAGATCACTCCTGGCTTTGATCTTTATCTGTTTGTGAAGTTTCGATACGATTGGTTCAGTTATTCAGCAGACTAGGCCAGACGGATAGACAGACAAAAATATTATAAATATATATTCATATCTTAATGACGTGCAAATAATCCCCTGAGTTCGATAAGAGGCAGTTATTTCGATATCATAGACAGACATTTCAATTTTATTTATACGTATAGATTATGATATCGTGTTATAAATACGTGGACGTTTAAAAACAAGTAAAATTTTAACTTAATTCTAAATTACGAAATTTTGTGTTAAATATTCAATGGCATTACTAAATATTTTAATATAATCTGCATCCCACAGCCGGTGCGCCTGCACAAATAAATTACGAAACGGTACTATGGTTGGCCACTTTCACTCGAGAGAACAGCTATTTACTCGGCGTGCATGCAGTCGGGCTAGACTACTGAAGATAAATCGTTAAGTTTTACGATTTGTATGATGTTAAAATGGGCGTGGCTCTCAATGGTAATGTTTGGCACTGCAACCAGTTTTACATTCCTTAATTACAGATTAGACTAAATAATTTAGCTGATACCTTTTTTTACAATATCGGAGTGGCTAACGAGTTAACAGTCCATCTAATAATGGTGTTTACTTCAGTTCATGGATTTCTTCAACAAACTAGAAGAACAAACAAAGGAGATTACTCATGTGTTGTCTATCCCAAGTAACAAAATGAAATGCTTCACAGGTTGAACACACCAGTGAGTGCATTACTGCTTGGTCGTTGAATAAGAGTACGGATCCAAGCAGACACCTAGTATCCCTCCCATCTAATAAATATAAAGTTATAGCTTACTCTATTACTGGTCATAAAACGAGTAAAGCAGTAAAAAGTAAGGAATCTCCAATTTGAGAGGTGCCAAATGAAGTTATAACTGAATTTGGGTATTAAATTAATGGCGGGATGTGACGATGTCTTCCTTCTTCTTCATATGGCAACCTCCCCGGCGAACGGTGTACACCGCTTATGGATAATCGAGGCTTTGGCAACCAAAGAGTGCCAATACATTAATGTAGTAATGCTGAGCTCAAATCCCATAGAGATGATAGCAAACACTCAGTAGCACCGGTCCAATCGACTAGAAAAGGAACAAGCTCCCATATAATACATTATTTTAATAATTTGAGTTTAGCAATACTGCATTTATGTATTGTTATATATTTCGAATGATGAAGGTAAAAAACGGAAAACCCGTTTTTAATAGTAACGAGGATATGCTCGTACATCTTAGCCCTCAGGGGTGACAACGCATGTGCATTTTGATTGTTAATGAATGAAAGATGTAGATGTTTATGGCTGTATGACCTACAACATCAACTATTAGGTGAACAACACTTACTTCTATAAAGAAAGTTAGATGAGGTTTATGCCCTTACAGAAAAGGTAGGCTTGTGTTTAGTAGTGATAAAATAGACTGTTTTTTATTTGCAAAGTAAACCATTTATTTTAAAAGGAAATGTTAATTTTTTATTATAGCTTTTTTAAATATTTTGTGTAATCTTTTTGTTATGTTTAATATTATTTTACTTTGATATTATAATTATCACTATTTTAAAGATAAACGCAATACTATATATCATCATCATCGTTACAGCCCTTCACAAGTACACTGCTGAACATAGGCCTCCCCCAAGTAATGCCACAAAACACGGTGCTGAGCCACCTGTATCCATTGACTTCCTGCATATCTTACCAGGTCGTCACTCCATCTAGTGGGGGGTCTAATATATAGATAACGTTATTAAAAATTTGATTTATTCATAGGCTATTTATAAAAAATAAATATGACTGGGTTAATAGGTATTAAGGAGCTGGTATAAATACAGTATGTGAGGCAATCCATCTTAGGCCTTCGAGGTGAGTATGCATGTAACCTTCTTTGTTTGAAGTTAGCTACAGGTGTCACCGGGCTGTAGCTACTTACAATTAGATGAAATAGTGGAATAACAACCCCTCAACATTTACTTCGTAAAAACTGAATAATAATAATAGTCTTTTTTTATATTCCTGAAATGTACTTAATGCTTCTGTACCCAAATAAGTGGATAACATTTGGTTGGAGCTCATAATACGAGAGCGAAGTTACACCAAATACCTGTCTAGACGATGTCTAGACTGCTGTCTAGACGTTATCAACGTTTCGTAGATTTTATACAAAACCTAATCACTTACAGTGTTAGGATATAAAAAATGTATTGTTTCAAATTTTAAAAAATCCAGAAAATTCTGGAATTTTCGGAATATGAAAAAACACTCTTTGTTCAATAAAAATTGTTCAAACATATGAGAACTGTTGTAGCGTACAAAGTAATGTGATTGTGTAAACCATATCAATCGCCAGCATAATATCTCTCAGTCAGCGTGTAAAACGACCGTGCATCATTACGTAACATAATTACTATGAGTACACTGTACCTACGTCAAAGTAGTGTGACAGCGTAATGCGTATTGATGCGTGAAACTTGCTTTTGCGTTGAGATGAACGACTAATATGATGACGAAATCGTTTAAGCTTAGTTCACACCTTATTGCCAAAATCTTATTCTAAAACAATTTGTCAAATTTACATACAAGTTTTGCCTTATTTATTTTAGCAAATATGTTTATTTGTTAAGCCAAATAAACATGTTATTACAATCAGCGTGTAGTAGTAGCGTAAGGGTATCAGCTTCACCGTTTCTTCCTCCAGGTGTCGTAAGAAGGGAGAGAGGATGACGTAACAGGAGATCGACAGCAGCATGTTCTTGATAAAAACGCAAAAAATAACTGTATTTGCCAACCGGCCTGCTAAGTTTGGCAACTATGACAAATATACCATATGGAGCAATGGATGGGGGAGGCCTATATTGAACAGTAGACTTTCAATAGGTTGTAATAAACTAATAAATTAAATTAAGTACTTACTTGGTCGTGGAGAGTTCGGGGAGCAGCTAAGAGACATAAGGACGAGCGCAGCGTTGCACTCGTTCATCTGATCATCCCGGTCTCCGTAGCCTAGATCGCATGAGCTGCTCGGGCCACGCTTACGTGATCTAAATACAAAAAAAACATATGTTGCATTAACTGAAAAATGTTAACTTATGAAAAACGGTTGTTATTTCACAAATGGGGAGATTTAAACATCACAGCAAAACTGATTCACGGTCATTTTCAAAGATAAATTTGCAAAACAATAGAGATGGTTTTTCAGAAATTGGTTTTTTTTTCTGTATATTATGTTACCAATATTATAGACCGGAAATTACATGGTGGAACTGTTTACTGGGATTTTATAGGAAGTGAGACTCCTTTTTTTCTACCTAGGACTCCTAGGCAGTGCTATGTTCTGGTCTGAGGTGTACAGAGAGCTAGTATAATTAATTATAGTCTGTGAGGAATTCTAGCTCAGAGGTTGCTTTATTTGTCTGAAGTTGGTTACAGATATTCATCGATTCCAGTAACCACTTTTCATCAGGTGGACTGTAGATTTTGTCACTTGTCCACATGGATGATAAGATATCTGTCTCCATTTTAATTTTTTATTGAATCGACATCGACATTTCCATAAATTAGCCATACTATAGCGAACATTTACATCAAATTTAAGAAATACAAATTTAATACTAACTTATCAAGGCACTAATGAATTAACGATATATATAGTAATAAAAATGTAGAAATGAATACACTAAATTTAGAATAATTATTAATAATTCTATATTAATAACTCCAATAAAATACTACATAAGTCTTCATATTAAAGACTTCAACGACATCTAGAACTTTCGTAGCGACTGAGTACAGTACTTTCTTTCGCAATTCGTAGTAGCTAAAAGCCCTCAGATAGTAGAATCACATTCCATAATCTTTGTAAAGTGTAGAAACTAGTTCAAATTGCGTAAGAAAGGATCGTGATCCCCGAGGCGTCTGGCCGGTCACCTCGTTCTATGAAACCTTCGTTGTCAGCGGGCGTTTATCTTTGACTCGAAATCTGATTAATATGATTTAACCTAATAGTACCTTTTCATTTTGAATAAGGTTGTATGGTGAAAAAAATTTTGTATTTTGCCATCGTTTTAATTTTAATAAACATACATATTTTACCACAAAATAAAAATTCTGAAGCGTACCGCAAAAGTTAATGTTGTCAAAAGAATTGGAGTTGTTAAAATTGACTGCGATAAATGCATAAATATAAAAAAAAATATTCACTCATATTCATACGTGTTTTGTTTAGAATTAAAAGCGATGAAAATATTGATAAATCAATTTTTAATAAAGTTTAATCAAAGTTTTAACTGGGGTAATTTAAATTCCAGTTACCTTTAAAATAATTTAAAACTGAATTAACACATCATAGTAAAACTTGACGGCTCATTACATATCATAAACTTGAAAAATCGAAGTTGTTATCGTAAAAAATTACAGAATATATTTCCCACAGCTGGGCACAGGCCACTTCTCATTTATGAAATGGTTATTGTAGTTTTTTTAATTAGTGTGTTTGATCAAGTTTTATTATTCGGGTATGACGTAGGCATATTCAAAAGCAAGCGAGCAGTTGTGTATGTAAATTATTCACGTGACGAGGGCTACGCACAATGAAAAAAATATGCCGTTTAAATTGTTTTTAGTAATAATATTATTTAAAGATAATATGTTACAATGAGGTGACACGTCAGTCTTACCAACCACAGTTATTCGTTAAATGTTAGCGTGGAGCTTTGGAGTTAGATTTGCTATAGGAAAGTAAATTAATAACAATTGATTTTGTTAAAACTTATACAATAAGTTTTGCTCAATTCTTAAATTTTATAATATTTACATGGATTTAATTACCTACCTATTAATGTTTTATTATAAATACCAAACTAATTAATTAAAAATTGAATTGCTTGATTATTTTGTTACAGTACCCAGTAAGCCCTAGCAAGCAAGCATTTGAGCCTTGCCTTGTAAATATAATGTGTATAAATTGAACAAATAAATGAAAATAACAGAATACACTTATATATGTAAAGCAGTAGTTTAAGTGATTTTAAAGGGTGTAATGTAAAGGACCGACAGGTTAATTGTAGACGTCCTCGGCGGCTGGCAACGTTCGCCATGATGCCGTGTCACCGACACCGGTGTATATATACGTTCGTTGACTCGTTCTGAGCGGGCAGCACCCGGGCGTGTCCGGACCGAACCACCCCTAATCGTTTTACTGAATATATAATACAAAATTCAATATTGGAAAAGTTTTCATAATAATAATAGTTTTAAAACTAATTTTAAATAATTCTTTTAGCGGTAAAACATAAACGTAATTTGTCGTGAAACTTGTTTAAAAACAAAAGTGATACGAACGTTTTTATAAAGGTAAACAAGTGTAATTGCGTTGTTGTAGATAAAAAGGAGGCTAAAAGCGATCGTCGAATACAGTGCCCAGAAGCGAGGTGTGTTCACCCCGCGCGGCTACGACCTCCAAGAGCACGGGGTCGCTCTACGACCCGAAATACATGATTGCAGGTCATTACCATTATAGCAATATTGAGTCAAAGCAGTCAACGGGTCTTAAGTAGAAAGTTACAACAAGGTTAATCAACTATTGAAGTTTGTCTACCTTTTAATTCTGTTGTGACGTCGGACATAGCAAACATGATACATAACAATAGCACTTTCTGCACTAGTGTGTTTTAATTTACACGATTAAAACAGCGGATATGCCGTTTATGAATTAAATAGATGCCAATGCGGAAGTGCTACGATGCACTCTTTACTATTGCATAATTTACAGCTTCTAAATTTAAATATTTTTTTATATTTAATTAAGAATATTTAAATATAAAAGTAGTGCAATTATACGTAGATATGTTGACGTAATAAAATGTTATATAAATGTGTATATCGCTCGTTCCAGTACGTATTCTCAGACGAAAACATTCTTGGAATGTTATTCGAGATTCACTTTCAACTGATTCATCGCTACGATACAGGCCTGTGTGTTTAAAAATGTGCAAGCTATCTATAATAATTTATCATATTATATTCGTCGTGCGACCGGCAGCTGTGTACACCACACGCTCGTTGACGAAGTCTGTAGTACACACTACACACGTAACATTGGAAACGACCTTGCTTCTTGTTGCTGCCTCGCTGATAGCGACATTTTTTAGCGCTCTCGAATCTCGACGCTGGTAATGTAAATAAATTCATACGTACGTTCCGTAACTCAAAAGAAAAAAGGGAAACCTAATGTTCGTCTGTAAAGGCTTTTTTCTCAGTAACGATTAAGAGTATCAAGTTTAAAATTTAAGTCAAATCTACGAATTCTTGGAGGAATGAAAAATTCCAACTTCAGTACAATTTATGTCATTTATGTCACATATTTTGATACTATACGCAAACTCATCATAATCTACACGCCACTTCATACTGTTGACTTAGAATCATAAAATTTTACGCAAGTATTCTATACTTAAATAATCAGAAAATAATTAATTTTTAGTTAGGTAACATAAAAATGTTTTTAGATTACAAATTTACATTTGCAGTTGAAGCATCAAGCGTGATGTAAGACGATGAATTAAGGAACATTTTTTCCCCGCTGCAAAGTTTAGCTGGTATTTTAACCTTCTCGTTATAGCAGTGTTCGGTGCTAATCTTTCCTGTAATTATATGAATATCAGAAAGTAAATTATTAAGTTGAAGGTTGTTAAGTACTTATTAGGTGAAGGAAGTCGATAATTTTAGGTGACTTATGACCATGTTGTGTCATTTCTGGGGGCAGGAAGTTTAGCAATATCAGACGATGACGATGATGATGATGAGGTAGGTACTAATCTAAGTTTATGTGGAATGATTAGGACGCAAGTTGTGGGGACGGGTATTTTGAAAGTTAGGTCTGTTATCACATGCATCTTGTGTGACCAGTATATTGCGTTGATTCTAAAAGTAAGCGTATTTAAGTAAATGATCTAGTGATTAAATAGTAGTAAAACGATACTAGTAGTAAGTACTATTATCACACTGTAATAACCTATTTATACCCTGTACCGAAGACCGTTTTTACTGGTTACAGGGCGGGCATTCTTTCTTAGTCGTCATGGATGACAACCCATATTATGCATTTTAATTCTTAATCAGGGATATATGGAGATGTCTATTGACTACAGCATTCACTTACCATCAGGTGAACTGTGTGCTCGTTTGTCACCATTATTATTCTATTAAAATGTTTATGTAATTTACAAATTAAAAATTCTTAGTACATAATTTCCATTTTTAATAAAAGAATTATTTATCCTTACGATTTCCGACGGCTTATATGACAATATCGAATCAACAATTCAGCAAATCGTGCGCCGAGCTTAAAATTGACGTATTTTATCGACGGTTGGTATAGGTCGGGACATATTTTTTACACGACGGCGTGATACAAAAAGTGCGATTGAGCTAGAACGGTGCAGTTGCCTTCGCTAAAGCGGTGAGGTCATCAAAGCTGAAACTTCATACCTCGGCGTCGCGTCGGTCAGATATCTTAATTTGGAAACATATTTATTTACGCGCTAAAATTCTCGCCTGTAAACTGAACAACGCCTGTAGTCTCAATATTAAATCGAGTTAAAATTACTGTTTCATTTTAAATACGTACATAGATAAGTTGCATAGACAAGTACTTAGAGATATAGCCTGCAAGTAAAAGTTGCTCTTCTAAAGGTCTTCTAAAGTTTATGTTATTTATTTATTTACTATACACATATGTTCTATTTTTATAATATGTGTATATAAATCAAATGCTATACATACGCCTTCCCCATTGATTTGTGTCGTAGGGGGAGTATTTGATAAAGTTGCTACGCGTGGCAGGCCGCTTAGAAACCGCAGTTTTATATTATATTGAGGTGTTATCAGGAAGATGCTGCTGTCGATCTTTTGGTTCTATTTCTCTTTGTTTTGTGTTGATAATCTTACGTTACATGCGGCGAAATAATGTTCTAATATGAATGCGTCATAATATAAATAGCGTCTAATGTCATTGTGTCTTAACTTTTATGTTACAGATAGA